GAGCCGACTTTCTCCTTTTGAACCAGATTTTTAAACACAATTACATCAAGAAACATGAACATAAAGAATAAAAAGAGAACTTTTTGGTTGAGTTGGGGCAGAGTAAACCCAGGCCCTGTTTGTGTGCTTGCTGCCTAAATGACTCCCCAGGTGTCTTCTCTCTCTGATAGGTCAGAGCACTATAAATGGCTGGTAGGGACCTCACAGGCACATGTACCCCTGGATTGACCTGTGGGCTGCAGACAGTGTTCAGAACATGCACACACCATAGATATATGTCCTTATTCCCTAAGCTGCTTTCCTGACTCAGCCACTGCCCTCTGGACCCAGACTGTGTTTCATTCTGAGCCCAGCCAGCCAGACTCACATGTATTGAGTGTCTACTTTGTGCCAGGCACTGCTGAATAAGACAGATGGGGTTCTTGCTTATTCCTCCTGGGGTTTATTATAGTGAGGATCCAGACCAGAAAACAGCAAATTAGCAAATTCTGTGACTACTTCTGGGACTGGGGACACGTAGAGGGCTATCGAAACCAATGGAGGGGACCCAGTCCTGGCTCAGGGAACCATAATGGGTCCTCAGAGAAGGCTAAGCTGAGACTGAAGACAAAGAAGTGCTAGCCATGTAAGGAAGAGCAGGGAGAAAGCTGATCCAGACAGTGGGAACAGCACATGAGAAGACAGAGGCAAGAAGGTGCTCGTCTGTTAGATTTACCAACATTGTCAACTCTGTAAAGTCCTTAGATCCACTTTGGGCTGATTTCAGAACTGAGATCTCCTTTTGTGCCATGAGAATACTGGTACTCAGGGTAAAACTCTCTGAGTGCAGTCACTAGATCTCTATGACTTGTCTGACTCATCTTACATGAGAAGCCAGGGTCCACCCAGAATTTAAGTCTCAGCTCAGTGCTACTTCCTGGGGGGAGCCTTGTTCTCAGGCTAGTGCTGACCCCAGAGGCTTGTGATTGGTCCTGCAGTCTTGTGCTGAAGGTGCCATGGTCTAGGCATGAAAGACATCTTTCCATGCCAGGATTTAGTGATCTAGCCAGGAGGTTAGAGCCCTGGGGGTGGGAGCCAGAGGGATCAGGCAGGCAAGAAGGAAGGACCAACAGCAGGTTTTCTGTGAACCAGTTAAGGACTATTTATTGCGAGAGTGGGAAGTGCCTTTGCTGGGCACACAGTGCCCATTATCACCCACTGACTTAGCACATTCAGAACTGCCTTGCAATGTCTCCTCAGGGGCCCAAGCTGTTTTCAGCAGAACAGTCAATTTCCCTTAAAAACAAAAAAGGGCTATGAGCCTCTGCCCCAGGCAATAAATCAGGAGGAAAAGCCCGCTGGCCAAATACCCAGCAAGAGGGACATGATGGCCCATCTTCCTGGTGGAGGCCACTGGGTGAACTTGGGCACAGCTTCCAGACAACTTGTCCAGTGAGTGCTTCCACCAGGGCTGGAACGATGTCCGCAGGGGCTTTCAGCAGAGCCCAGATGGTGGGGAGAGCAGCCCTAGCCCCACTCCAGAACTGGTGCTGCTGGTCCTCGCTAGCCTCCCTGCCTTTTGTGGAGCATCTTCCTGCAGCCACCTGCCCCCTGAGTCATTGTTGCCTACCCAGCTCTTCTGGGTCCAGGCACTGAACACAAGGGGGCGCCAGACAGCCACCCAAACCCACAAGGCCTAGCATGGTCCTACTTTTGTCCTTTTCCAGAACTTTCCCTGTTCTGTCCACCAAGGTATATGTTTGTGCAAGGACCTCTATATCTGGAAGCAAGATTTCTTACAGGTGGGAGCTCTTCACCCCTAGAAAGTCAGCAGATTAAAAAAAAAAAGCGAAAAAAGGTGATGTGAGTTGGGTATTTTTTTTTTAAAGTCTACTTTATTATCCTAAATATCTTGAAGAACTGACTCAGGTAGGTTCCTTAGAAACTCAAACCCTCAGAAACCCTCCCAGAAGGTTATTTACCATAAGCAAACAAGCAAACTGCAGGGAAAGATATATTCACAGTTCCGGGCCCCCGAATGTGAATTCTCTGGGTGATTTATTTTATTTTACAGGCTTCTGAATGACTTTGTGTTACTGTGGAAAGAGCCTTGGGCCAGATTCTTGCCTTGACTCTGTTTTAATCTTATCATTTGAGAAAGTGTTTTTTTTCTTTCCCCCCCAATGTTAGTGTTTTCATCTATTGAATGGCGCTTAACAAAGCTTCTTGTTAAGGCCTAATGCCGACTTATAACTACTGAAATAAGATGGGAATGAGGATGAAGGTGTGTTTGGCTAACTGAAAATCTTGATATAAATGTAAAGTTCTTCTAAATCGTAATATTCACAGTTGGATGTTATAGCCTAAACTTGGCCCTAGGACAAGGGTGGTGTTTCTCAGACTTGAGTGTTCATCAGAATCACCTGAAGGGTTTGTTAAAACACAGCCGCCTGCTAAATACAATGCCCTGAGCTTCTTACTCAGTAGGTCTGGGATGAAATGGAGAATATGTATTTCTAAGAAGTTTCCAGACGGAGCTGCTGGCTTACATGTTGAGAACCCCTGGTTTAGCATAGGCAATGGCTGGTAAAGAAAATTCAAGAAAGGAAAAAGAAAATTCAAGAGAATAACTTTTTGTACCAGCCCTCCACTCCCACCTGCCATTCAACCTTCTCTAAAGAATAACAATTATTGTGAGTATATTGTGATTTTTATTTTCTCTTCAACTTAATACATATTGATTAAGTACCTTTCATGACTTAAGCACAAAGTACTGGGGATATAACCTTAAATGAGGCAAGAATTCTAGTCTTCAAGGAGCTTAAAACCTTTTGGGGTATACAGTTGGATAAATTAGAAATTACCATGTTAAGGAAGAAATGTCCTGAGCATGGGAAGCTGATAAGTGGTCAGAGGGAGGATATAGGGAGGAACAACCAGGTGAAGAACTTTCCACTGGATAAAACTCCATGCACGAGTCCATGCATAAAGTCTTGGTGTGTTTCAGAAATTGAAAGACATTTACTATGGTTGTAGACAGGCAAGAAGGAGTTTGTTACGAGGGTGCTGGCTGCAGAGACAGGCCCCTATGGTTTGAGGTTTTGAGCTGAGTTCCTGCAATGGAAGGTCTTTTGTCTTCCCTGTGTCCGGTGTGGGGGAGTGGACTCCTCTGGGTGAGTCACCACCAGACACCCAGAGGTGGGTGCAGGCTTCCTTCCTGTACTGCAGAGGGCCGGGCGCCCACTGGGCTGACCACCTTTCTATACCACTGTGGACAGAGTGGCCTTGAGGCCGGAAGCCAGAAATGAGTAGGAGCCCCCTGATTGGGCAGGAGGTGAGGGATGGAGGGCATAGGTGTCACCCAGGAAGAGGTTTGGAGCCTCATAAGCAAAGGTTCTTTGAACGGAGGATTGTGGGTGGGGAGGGATGGGTGTGGAGGAGGATGACAAGACCATCTGGCTGGATGCAGGCAGGTTTCTGAGAGTGAAGGTGCTCAGAAAAGGAAACACAAGCTTTCCCAGGGTCAGAGAGGACACATCTTACCATAAAGGACTTTGAAGTTCCACAAAGCTCTAGGTGAAGCTTCCTGTTTAGAAATGTGTCCTTTGGAAAAGATATCATTTGGGGAGGTCTTGGGACTTTCTTTGATAATTTCTTCACCCTTCTAGATCTCTGAGGCATAGGGAAGGTCAAAGGAAAGGAGAAAGGCTCATTGCCCACAAGCCTTGTTACTTACAGTGATGTCCAGACAGCCCCTTAGGATGTGGGGATACTTCCCCTGTGCCCATAGTCCTTCACACAAGCCCCTGCCATAGCACTGACTGTATTGGAGATTCCTTTATGAGATACTCAAGGGTATGTGGGTTTGTCTTTGTCTACCAAGTGCATGACACAAAGTTTAATTAGTGCTTTAGTATATACATGGACAGAAAAATGCTTTACATTTTGATGGTTGTTGCATAGATTCCAGGATCCCCCACTGTAGAATCCCCACATTCCATAGTCCAGTGTTTTCCTCTTTTACTGTCTGTTTGACCCTTGGAGCTCTGCCCAGTCCTAATGATTCAGCGTGTTGTTCTGCAAAAATTTCCATGTAACTACCTGGAGATGTTTGCTTTAGTCCCAAAGAGTTTGAATCTTGGCAGGGCTGTAGTGAGAAGTGCGGTAGCTACTTTAGGGTGCCCTTGAAATCATGCTATACCCACTCCCCTTCCGCAAAGGAACAGCCTTGCCATGCTAATCAATCCCTGCCAGGCTTACCTGGTGGTTTCTCTTCCCAGCTAGCCCTCTGGATAACAACTGCACCTACTGTTAGCCTCACCTTGATGGTGAACTGTGGTATCTGTGTGCCTTATGCTTGCCCTCCTCAGGGAAGCCGGGCAGAGAGATGGTAGCTAGGTAAAGCTGCCCCTTGGTCTGTCATTGACCGCTCCCTCTCTGCCTGGGCTGGAACCCTCCCATTTCTTCTATATTATATCTATATATCTACCTTTTTCTTTCTACTAGGTCCTTCTCCTGGATCTACATATGCAATTAAATTTATGTATGCTGCCTCCCCAGCAAACAAATAATAAAAGCCTGTGAAACCATTTCTCTTTTGACTGTGAGTCTTTTTAAAAAATTGTTTTCATCCCAATTTC